GGGGGGGGGAGGAGAGGATAAGTTCACAAAGGGCCTGCAGGTGACTTTGATAGGCACACGCCCCTTTCCAGGATTGAGAACCCCTGCCCCAGGGACTGCCCTGCCCTTGAGGAAAGACACCTGATTTGTCCCTCCTGGGTTCCACAGAGGAATTCCTGCTCCCCGGCCAGAGTGAACCCACTTATACCCACTGCTCCACTTTCTCAGAATCTTCAGGGAAAAACAAGTCTTCTCTGGGTTTTGAAGCTGATTCTGGACTCTGATGTCTATACACAGACTCTCTGTTGGGAATGTTGCATCCCCGGGGACACCAAACGCCCCACTGCCCATGCTCCCCCCAGCACAGCCGGTGTATGCTCCCTCCCAGGACCCCTGCCAACCTCTCCCTTGATGTTTTTGGGGGGCCCAAATGATGTCCAGACCCAAGAGCAGAAGGGATCACATGCAGAGTATTTTGAAGTTTAATGTCTTGGAACATTTTTCTTTCGAATTTGTTATTTTAAGCACACTTTGTGATTTAATGACTCTTTTTGGGAGTTCAGTTTGTGGTTGAGGTCTGAGCACTCAGGAATGCATGTTTAATTTTTTTCATCCTATAACCAGCATTTCATCTTAGACTAAATAGATGCACATTTTGGAAATCCCACAGAATCACTGAGAGAAACACTGATGTTTATATAAATGCTTGCATGTTTGAGTGAATTTAACTAAAGAAAACAATCAGAGCTGGTACCAAAGGCTTTTTGGAACTGCTCTAAGTCCTTAAGTCTCCATCAGCATCAATTTTCCCTCATCTCTGTCCTTACGGGGCTTGATGCACACGCAGAGCACTGCAACTCATTGGTGGACACTGGGTCTCCCCCACCGGTTCTGGTCTTTGCAGCAATGAAGACGGTGGCTTATGCTCCTGGACCCAGCACCTAGCATGGGGAGCGTTCACTCGTGGGGCTGAGGCTGAACTCTGCCTGAGTTTGGAGGCATGGGTGGAATTTTCATTCTCTCTGAAGAAGCAGTGAAGGGAACTGGATGAAGAAGCAGAGAGAGAGTGCTTTACGGTGGGACCTGTGGCAACAAAAGGCTCCACATGCCCCAGGAAGAGAGGAGAAGGACTAGACCACCTTCTCCGTCTCCTCACAGTCTTCATGAAGTCAAGGCTGTGGTTTTACTTGGATAAATGTCTCTGGACACCAGAAAGGTGGAGAACTATTGGCCACATAGGAAAGAATTATCTGAAAGCTTCTCTTTTGTTGGCTGTGCTCAGTGGACTGCGTTTCTAGAGAACAAACCCACACTTTATTCACCTCTGGATCAACAGCACAGAACACGCCAACCGTGCTGGTTGCACAATAAAAGTGCACTGAACTTTAATGAACAAAAAAGCAAATGACTGAATAGTCAGGGTGGGACAGAAAATACACAAGAATAGTTCCAGGGGACCTCTCAGCCACATGAGTAAAAAAAGCTATTTAGCAATATGCACATGATTTGCCAGTCATATGCACAGAATTCCTCAAACCAATGATTGCTGTTTCCACTACTGGACATGAATATGCAAAAAGTTGCAATATTACCTAAATAGATGCAGAACATATACAGAAAATGAGACATTCCAGATAAACAAATTTTAGCTTGAACACTGGTTCCCAAAGCAGAACGTAGCCACACAAAGAGATCGTTTTTAAAAGAATCGGTGAATTGAATGTCTGGAGTGTTTTCTAAGTTCGGTGAATTCTATGACAATTGGAGGACAAATGTATTTTTTGGCAGAATTCTGAAAGTGGGAGTAGGTGGGGAAAGAGGGTCACTCCCAGGCCCACCAGCTGGCAAGGGAGCTCAAGCCGTTTCAGTGGCAGTGAGTCGAGTGCGGTCAGGGTCTCCAAGGGATTTTAATAGTCGTGCGGTCAGAGCTCCCTGAGTAAATAGCTTCCATTCCCACTCCTGCGGCCAGCTGGCCAAGTGGGGGACCACCTAAGTTGTATGCCCCAAAAGAAATGGGAACGCAGGTTCTCCTCTCCCATAATTCTCCTACCAACTACTGCCTCTCACTGCCTGAAATGCCACCATTAGAATGACGTGATTTTAACTCAAAATTTGTTCCCAGTTAAAATTTAAATATTACCAACAGAGATAATCTTTTAAACTTTTGTTACTCCTTTCAAACCCATTTCTACTTATAAGTGAGCTTTAGAACCTGTTTTGAAAGTAGGTATTTGCTGGGGGGAAGGGAAGAGAGCAGAAAAGCTCTGGTCAAGGAGCCTCCATGAGTGGTGGGTCCATAGAATGGGTTTTCATGTTCTTCATCCCTCCCTCTATTCCCGCCATCTCCCACGTGACTTGAAGCTTCCTTCATCAAGAGGTACAATACATTTGCCATCCTTGGGATTCTGAGCTTGGCCTTGTGTCTTGTCCTGGCCAATGGGACAGATGAAATGCTTGAAAGGCACTTGGGTAACTGGGCTTGATTGCTCTTGCATTTTTGCAATTGTCATGAGAACATGCCTGCGCTAGCCTGGTAGAGGTTGAAAGACACATGGATCAAAGCCACGTAGCACCAGCTGGCCCAGCTGAGGCCACACTAGGGCAGCCAAAAGCCAGCCAAGTCTCAGAAATATGAGGGAACCATCCAGATCGGTTGAATGGCTCAGGCTCATGAGCTAAATAAACATATGTTGTTATGTGCCACTCACACGTAGGGGTTGTTTGTTGTGTGGTGTTATTATGGTGATCAGTAGCTGATACATTGGAGAAAAAAGGCCTAGGAGGGAGGACTTGAAAGACCAGGTTTGCACCTCTCACAGTTATGAACACATGAGCCTCCACAGTTGGGCTGCCAGAAAGCAGCAGATCACATAAACATGATGTCATGCCGCAGTCAGCCTGGTCTTTGCAGCCAGGAGAGACTGGTACGTCCTCCCCCAAATACGGGTATGTGAGATCTGTGCCTTGTTTGGAGGGTGAGAGAGAGCAAGGAGGGAGGGACCAAAGTTCACTGTGTGGCTACTACGTGCCAGCGACTCTGTGACAGGTCACATTTATCCTCTCATCCAGTCCTCACTGTGGTCTTGTGAGCTGGGAATTGTTTTCTCTACAGATGAGAAAACTGAGACCTAGGAGATCGGGTAACTTAGCCATGTACATCAGGGCTGGCAAACTTGTTCTGTTAGACAGGTATTGTGAACATGAAATTTTATAATATAAATTTCATATCATTGTGTGTGTGTCACAAAATAATTTTCTTTTGATTTTTTCCCCAACTATTAAAAAGGTGAAAACCATTGTCAGCTCACAGCCTGTACCAAAATAGGGAGCGGCCCAAACGCGCCAACCCCTGAGGCCAACCCCTAAGGTCGGTGGCAGGGCTTTGATTCAAACCTGTAAAATTTTCCAATTGACTGGAAGGCCAAAAAATCCTTGTAGAATTTGGATGTTTCCTGTTACTCTCCTTACTGCCACTTAATACTCTCCTATATAAAACAGATAAACATCAAGAAAATGTCCTACTCACTCTCGAAATGGTAGTATTGGACACAGCACATGAAACTACTGACACTGTATTTGCAGTTCTCTTGGAATCAACTAAATTGACTCAGAGTGTGCATTTTAAAAACTTTGTCGGTAAGCAAAAAGTATATTAAACCCACAAAGGGTCAGTAGCTCAAATTGCAACAGCACTCACCAGTCAGGGAGGCAATTACCAGACTGAACCTGCTTGGGGTAAAGTCACAAGACCCCGGGGCCAGCTCTCCGGTTCAGGAATGGCCGTCCCACCAGCCCAGCGGCAGCCCCGCTACATCCCACCGCCGCTGCTGCAGGCACTCTGCTGCCTGCATCGCTCCCATTCTCCAAATGCTTCCAGTGCCGACACGACGCTTTCTCCAAAACTGCAGCCTCTACCTCTTTCCAGTCAGATTCTACAGCGTTACTGATTCTCCCCAGCCTACTGAAGACAAGATGTTGAGGGGGTTATAAAGTATAATATGCAATCAACACATGAGGTTTAAGGGGTCATGCATTGTCGCTCTTTGTCTTTTAAGAACGTTTGGTTACTCATCAAGAAGATATGATTTTATCTCAACAAATGAAGTGATGATGAAGTGTGTATTTATCTTTTCTTTTGGGTCCTCTTTTCTCTTCAGATTCTGGCAGCCACACTGTTGACCTGTGCGCTCCACCCCTGCTGCACCCCCTCTGCAGGTCAGCACTAGCCACACAAAACAGAAACAGCTTTGGTCCATGGAGTGCCCCTGATGGGAGAGTCTCAACATGTGGTCCAGGTGTCTGGATTGGGCAGGTGGGATGGGGCCAGATAATGAGCCAGCTGACCCTCAGAAATGATTTTAAAAGTCATGGAGGGTTACTGAAAAGCTTAATGCACTGGGTTAGTGTGGGCTTGTTTCCTCCTTAGAAAGATCACTCAGGCAGTGGAGGAGCTGATGGTTTGAGGGGAATGACAAAGTCAGGAAGCTCAGTTAGAAAGCTACTTAAGTAATCCAGTGGAAGAAAGAAGAGTTTAGACCAAGATAATGGAGCTGGAGGAGGGGGAGTAGATTTGATGGCTACTGAGGGAAAAATAGCTGATGGGACTTGCCAATCACTTGGATGAAGAGGGCAAAGAAGAGAGAAAACCCCCAGGTTTCTGGACTAGGTAAGTGGGGGATGCAGTGATGTTACCCACAAGAGGGAAAACAAACAGCAAACAGGTTTGTGGAGGAAGAGGAAATGTTCAGTTCTTAACATGTTTGGTTAGAAGCGCTTTGGGGACATCCAAGAAGAGGCATCCAGCAAGCACTGGGCGAGGTGTGTCAAGGCCAGAAAAGAGGAGCCAGCTCTCAGGTGGCAGCAGAAGCCATGGAGTTGAATGAAATCACCCAGCAAGATAGGACAGTGTGAGAAAATCAGGCTGTGGATGGAGCCAGAAGGAGATCCAATCTCCATGGCGTGGACACAGGAAGGGAAGACCATGACGTGGGCGGGGGAGCTGTGAGCAGGAACAGGATTCAGGAGAGGGCCTGCCATGGGAGTCAGGGGATGCCAGAATGCCCCATTAGGGGTGTCCCAGACTGTCAAATATGTTAGAAGATGTTAAAAAGTAAAGATCAAAAACTGCCTTGGAATTTGCCATCCGGAAGGTAACTAAAACTTGGTGACAGTAGTTTCACCTGAGAATAAATCACCTCTAAGTTCTCATTCACGCTAAGATTCTGTGAGTCTGTGATGGATGGTGGCGGAGCCATAAGGCCCATCTTTGAAAGAAGTTTAAGATCTGAGTTCTATATATTTCTGTTTCATAGAAATATATATATTTTAAAATTCCTAATAATCATCTTCCTTTTCTAGCCAAGTTATGGTCCAGTTTAATATTATTGAAAGTTAATTTCTTTTTTATTTTCTGACAAATCGATGGTGGTTAAAATTGGTATAGCGTCTGTGAAACTAGGGTCAATCATGTCTAGGAACTAGACTCAGCTCTAAATGACTGCTCACGTTTGTTGAAATCTTGATGTCAATTCTGATTTTCCACTCAGAGAAATGGCAGTGAACTTGATTTCCTCTTTAACTATGTGGTCCAGTGCCCCTCCCCTCAAGCAATCCAACAGTCCTCCCGCTGCTGGATCAAATGGCCAGCGTCCTGGTATTTGTGGAGGAGGCAGGAAATAATAAGCAGCGATTTCATTTGTTTCTACAAGTTACAGAAAATGTGCTGCGTCCTTGAGGGGGGTCTTGTGTCAAGAGGCTGGGACCCAGTTGGGGCCTGTGGAGTAGCTCCCCTTCAACTGCCATTGGCGATCGGTGTAACCCGTAGAATGAACAATATCCCCAAACTGTTTACATGCCATGCTGAGGAGTCTTAACTGGTCAAAAATTAAAATCTATACTTGTTCCTTCTTTAAAGCACAGCTCAAAATGGCCTCTAAAGAATGAGTAGGAATTAGCTAAATTGTTGAACTCAACATGCACGGCCAGCAGAGACAGGACCCTTCATTAACGTTTCAAGTGCTGAGGAGACTTGAGCTGGATGAGCTAGAATAAGTAATGTGTTATGATGGCATTCCTATTGCAAATCCCTCACTGGCTACTAGAATCTTTCCTGCTGCCTAAATTTTTTCTCAAATAACTTCACTTTATATTGTTTCAAAAAGAAAGAAAAGTTATCTTGTCAAAGATCATTTAAAGTGCATTTATTTATTTCCGACGTGAACTGAGGAGAGGGGCCTGTGTTTTTATCTCATGTGCATTTGCAGACACACTTGCACAGGCTGCAATGATCTTAAATCCATGAATGGGATCTTAAGGCATAAATGTTTGAAGACAAATTTGTAACTTGAATTAAAAGTCTCATGACTTTCCTTAAAATTTTTTTAAGCTCCAGAAAAGTTGGTTTCAAAAACCAGTTGTGTAACTTTTATTCTTAGAATTTGAGATCCCAGAATTAAAAAAAAGGAAAAAGGTTGCCCGGAGCTCAGTGCCCTGAGCCTGGAGCCTTCCTAACGGGCGGATGTGCAGACCAGCTCAGCTGGCTTCAGCCCCGACCTGTACCAGAGAACTCCCAAGTTTAACTGACCGTCTGGTTTATTTTATCCACAGTCGATTTTCATTTGTTAGGAGAGGAACAATTCCTTTCTGTCTCTGTCTTTTCTTGACTAATTCAATGAGACCAGCCCTCAAATACACCATGGGATTAGCACCGGCTCATAGATTTTATTCTTGAATGACATAGGTCTAACTTTCTAATTTCTAAGATACCTTATCTTTTTTGATTAAAGCTTGTCTTTTGTCTTTCTGATAACTTAAAGGACAATTTCAAATGTGATAAGTCATAGTGATTCACACAGAACTTAAAGGGCTCATTCAGAAAGGAAACCTCTGCTGTAAATGATCTGAGGCAGGCCTGAGCAAAGCCTTGGCACAATCACGCTCAGAAACGAGAGACCAACCTTTGGGATTTTAAAGTTGAAGAAAAATGCAGAAGTGGGTTTTATCTTTTCCTCCACGTGAGCGTTTCTCTGAGGTGGCTGTGTTCTGAAGCCGGAGTTGTGAAGATTTTGAGGGATCTCAGGCAGGACACGCTGCGGCCCCGGCTGAAGCACGGCTGGAGCCTCCCTGCCCGCCAGGACAGCCTCCACCCCAGCCTCCCAGGCCCCAAGAGGACATCACCGTCAGGATCACTCTTTCTTTCTCGGGGGCCGTGTGGGGCATGGGTGCTAACAGAAATGCGTGTAGGTGAGGAGCAGAGGGCTGTAGGATGGGCAAGCTTTATCCCCAGAGCTCAGCCAGACGCACGGGGCCTCAGACCTGGACTCGGGGCTGCGCTGCCGTCCTGCTCTGTGGGGCCTGAGGGAGCTAACTGCAGCCGCGGGCCTGCAGCATGGCGTTAGGTCCAAAACCATCAGGAGCTCGCTTCAGGAAACAGCACACTGCATGGAGCTGGAGGGGCACAGGCCGGGGACACGAAGGCAAGAGGTGACAAAAATAGGCTGGGATCCCACATCACAAAGGATTCGGAGAGGTCTCTGGAATAGTTTATGCCTTGCTTCCCATCAAATTTGGATTAGCCATAGCAAAGGAGGAAAGAGAACAAATAAAGGAAATCCACTGATAATCCCCAAACCTCCATTTGAGCTAATAATTTAAATTCCTTCTATGCCAAGTCAAGCCTCTTTTTGTTTGTCTAACAGAGTTGATAATGAGAGACAAAATAAACCAATCTTACTTTAACCTCCTTCCCGTGCATGCCGACAGAGAAAGGAACGGGCTGCGATAATCCCTGATTTGGGAAAATCTGTGTGAGCCCACCTTGGAGAGTGGAAAGAGGACTGACGCCCACCGAGGGGGCACTGGCTGCAGGGTCGGGAGCTGCGGAGAAGCTGCTGGCAGCCGGCAGTGCGGGGTGGCTGTGGATGTGCCACAGCCGGGCAGTGGGGACAGCCCCGGGGCGGGGGTGGCGTGGCGGAGGGAAAAGTGTGAGATGGGACCTGGCCACAAAACCCAGCCCGATCAGGAGCCCCTAGACGTGGCCTGAGCGAGAGGCAAGGAAGAAGGCAAGGAAGAAGGGGGGATGAGCTGAGAAAGTGAGAGATCAGGGAGCTATATCACGCTGAGGCAGGGATCTCTCTTGCTCTTTCTTCCTTGGACACCCACTAGAATAAAACCACAGGACTGGGCATGTCAAAACCAGCCCCTGACTGAAAGTCCACTCGGCGGGTCGCTGTGGTCCCAGTGGTCTGCAGCCAAGAGCCCCAACACCAATGCACAGTAGCAAATGGCTTTCTTCCAGAAGTGGAGCCTCTCAAGACCCTTCCTTGGGGAGCCCCCTGGTGAGATAACCTGCTTTTTCTGACCCTTTCGGGTCATTTTGCCTGGGGACGCTTCCCAATAGAGTAGAAGCAGCTCCAGTTCTGCAGGTCTGGGCTCGAGTCCAGCTGTGTCACTATGGAACTTGGTCACCTCAGGTAAGTCACTCTCTGCTCTGTGTCTTCACCTCATCTATAAAATGGGACT